CGTTCAATTAATTCATTTGTGTGTTTACTATTTTATGCCGTAATGAAAATGGCGCCTGTCGAAAACCTAGCTCCTTATCTTTTAGTAATAATTTTAGCTATTTCATTCTCCGGTAAAATAATTCAATTTTTAAAATGTCTTATGAAAGAAAATGTTTATAAATTATAACACATTAATAGTCGAATAACAAATGTGTCCCGTTTTATCACGACCGAGCAAATGCGCAATAACAATCTGTCTCAGTAAACATCACAAACTGCCTCCGCAAACAATTTGTTCTTTAATTCTACAACAAACGCTCCCCTGCTCCAGAGCTACGCACTTTTATATGGAAACGTGTCGCTGAATAATACCCTTTTTATGTCTTTCAAACATATTAATACATGTCTCAGGCGCGTGAAAAATTTGTATATCTCGCGTTTTGTATTATATTTCTTGAGTGACGATACGGTAATGCGTATTTCTCACGTCGTCTCCGGTCATACAAGCTCCTAACGCTCGAGGACTTGCGAACTCGTACGTGATGAATAGAGATTGAAAAAGTTTTGCAACAACATTTTATAACGCACATTCTTCTTGTTTATGGACCAACAACAAAGAAACAACATCTTTGATAGTTTTAAACTCCTTGATTAACGATAGCAAATAAGTATATTAGACTACGAAAATTACCTTGTTTTTGAAAACAATTTTAATGTTGAAAGAAGATAGAGATAACCATCACCACATAGTCAAAGAAGAAGGAAGAGATATGTGATCAAAACAGATGTGCTTTTGAACTCATGTGTTTATTTAGAAGTAACGTATCTCGAATTACTTTTTCGCACTCTGTGATAACTACGCAAACTTTCATATCTGTGTCGAGGTGGATGAGTCTCTTGCGCTTTTAAAATATTCTTTTTATATGAAAACACGGCGTTGATTAATGTCTGTGTTGAGCTCACGCGAGTTTTAATATTACTGTTCGCAATTCAAGGTTTATGCTCAAAGTAATGTTCGCTTTGTTTGCATTGAATAATTTAAAATAATACACTGCTGTCCATCGCATATCGTTAACGCTTTCCCTGATTATAAATTGAAAAAAAAGTCGAACCAAAAAAATTTAATTAAAATGCACGGCCGGTAAAACAGTGAGGCATTGTTTATATAATGAACTTACCTTCCCGCGGCCAGGCTGTCAGATGGCTACAGAGCGGAGTTGTTTTTGCTTGGCAAGATGCAGGCTTCACTGAAATCCTGCATTATCCTGAAGGTTACGATCTAGACTAATCCTTCCTGCAGAAGCAGAGCAAGCAGAAAGATACAATTCACAAGAGTCAGAATTTAAGTCTGACTATTTTTACTTCAAATCAATTGAACATACATCTTTGGATGACAATTTAATTATCTTATTATGCTCAAGTAAGAATTATCACTACTTACAGGCAAAACATCTTTAGAATTTGACATTTTAATTTGGATTTACTGACCTAATTACCGATACAGGTCTTCATATAGAAATGAAATAAACATTTATAGATAGAAGTTTTATTAAGTCCACAATAAAGTCATTTCGCTCTCACTAACGCGTCTACTATTTACAATCAGGTACAAGAATGGATAAAGTATTTCCAATTCCGTCAAACAACCTTTTCTGTTTTCTTTTCCGTGCTCGTATCTGAAAGTGAAATTTATTCCGTGTACATTTTTAAACCAACAGAAGCTAGTTTTATGTCATTATCTTATTCATTACGTTAATTCTTTTTAGTTAACATCGAAACAATCTTGGTATTACAATTAATTGATCAGTTTAAGAAATTATTGTGAATCAATAGTTACCGTTGGAGGCTTCCTTGTTATCTTGTGTGGGCTCGTTCCAGCGCTGGCGCTCGCTGGAGCCGAACATGATGAAGAAGATGTTGGCGGCGATGTAGATGGCGGACGACACGTAGAACA